TTTAATCTTATTAAATATTCTTGAAAAGGGTAGAAAATAAATTATAAAGTCTGACTGTTAAAATTATTAAACAAATAACATTTAATTAAAATTCATATGAAATATATTAGAACTGACATGAAAATTTAAGCTTTTTTAGTAAATAAAATTAATGTAGAGCCATTAGTTTTAATAAAAAATAATATATGTAAAATTTGAAACAAAGATTGACTACAATGTATTCTTGAATATTTTATTAAATATATAATTTACTCCTAAGTCAAATTGTTTCTCAAAAATGCAAATCAATCATCAAAATGACGATTTATTATTGTTTAGAATCTAAAATAATTTTCATATATTAATATATGTATATTGATAAAAAGCTAAATAATTACGGTTTGCCGTAATATTTACAGTTTATTTTCATCTTCAAAAAGCCATATAAATTAATAAAGTTATTCAAAGTTTTGGCAAGCATTGACTATAACGTAATTTTAAATATTTTACTACCTATTTAATATTCTTCTGAATGTAATTGTTTCTCGAAAAAGCAAATCAATCATCAGAATGTCGATTCATTGCTTTGAACTTGAAACCTTTCAATATTTGATGTATATAAATGGTAAATTTTCGCAGTTTGTTAAGTGGTTTATTTTCATCTTAGAAAAGCCGTACAAGTTAATAAGGTTGTTGAAAATTTTGGCGTGCAAATAATTTGAAAATACAAACATGAAATCCTACTTATATATGTAGTAGACATTTGTATACCTTTATAATAATGTTTGGTAAATAAAATGAACGCACGAAATGTGATTAAATTTGATTACTGAAACGTGCCATTTGGTGAAAACAATTATATTTGTTTTACCAAATTGTTTGTTTTAACGTATAAATCAATATTATGATTTTACATAAATTATGCAAAGGTATAATAATAATTGTTTGACAAAATATTAATATTGAAATACAAAAATAATTTTAAAATGTAAAAGATTATTCTTATCTTTATTAAATATTTTTAATACAGATACAGTCTGCGCTTTTTCATTAATCTGTTAGAAAACACATTTTGTATGCAAAATTTCAATAAAGGAAAATCTATTCAATTCTTAACTATAAATTGTTAATAGTAAAATACATAAAAAATATAAGTGTGAATCTATCAAACAAAAATTAACTAGATGTAAGTGTGGTTTTGCCCTAACACAAATTGCATGGACTTCCCGATATGTATTGTGTTTTATAGTAATTTATAATATTATTTATAATTATTACAAAGGGTGGATACCACTACAGTATATATAATCAACTTAATCAATAAGTATTGAGATTAAATATTTTAGATTAAATATTCGGATTTAAAATTCGAAATTCGGAAATAAAATGTTTGCTTTCTCTATAAATTAATCAATGCGATTTATAACTGATAGGTATCAAACATACTTGTAATATCCGCAATTGTATAAATTAAATTAATTAGTTCAACACATTTTGTTTTATGAATTTCGTGTTCTAACAATGTACTTTATTTATACGTCGATTTAATCAGTAGCTGTCTACAAAACACAAAATGTACCTATGCTTCATAGATGATTTTTCATAGTTCTACTATTTATAAAATTTTGTCAGACTACGAAATCTATCGTCATACAAAGTGTCATCAAAATCGCCAGAAAAAAAATAATTACTTTACCAAAAACTAGGCAGCACGATTTCTCTAATCAACGTCTTATCGAGTTAAATCGAATGGCTTTCAAATTTTTAAAATCGGTTACAGTTCGGTCATTATAGATAATATAGCTTATAATACTGTGTATTATTTGGATTAGCAGTTGTAGATTAATTATTCAAAGAATACTAAAACTTTAATTAGTTTTCTTAAATATCCAATTTACCATTATTTTCTCTCTATAGGCTAAATATTTGTAATACATCTAATAATTATAAGCAAAATATGGAATCAAAAACCAGCAATACGAACTGTATATTTTTTGAAACATTCTGATCGGATGGCCGAATCTCGTAAAAATCAAGTTTACATTTTCTGCACTTTATGCTCCGTATCTCCGAAACAACTGGACCTGTCTAATAGGAGTTGTTTGAATCATGTGTATAGATCCGCGCTCCCAAGAACGTGGACGAAAAATTATATCCACACATACGCACATAACGAAACACACACACATGCACACATCAATTTTTTCCAAGGTATGCCAAAATGTTCAGAAACCTCTAAAACGTAAAAATAATGCCAAAAATTGCTTTTTGGACGATTACTATAACTTACCCTTAAGTAAGTAAAAAATATGTTTTAACTAATTTTATGGCATTCATGAATTATGTACCGCTGTGACTCAAGTCACTTCTGCATATGAAAATATTGTCTCAGGTTGAAAAAGCTTGGCAAAGGTCATGAACATTGATATTTGTTGTCTCGTCAATCTTATAGAATTAAGATTTATGCACAAAAAAATCTTAATTATTTATAATAATATCGGAAAATTTGGAATGTGACCTGAAAGTCACGATGGTCCATAGAGGGTTAATTAGCTTTTATCGGTGGTGAGTAGGTGCCAACAATAAGAATATCATACAATTTTCGATGAGTCGAAGCATTAAAAATTGCGACAAGTAGTTAAAATAAATATAGTTGAAATAAATGTAGTTAAAATAAAAATAATGTATGTAAAAAAGTATCTAATACATTTTTTTAATTAAAAGAGATTTTGCACATTAACAGAGACCAGCTACGACCTAGTGGGAATCACGTATGAAAAGCTAGCGACCGATAAGGATTAGAAATAAATAAAATACACCTAAGTCTGTTTTTACACGGTCTTTTTGAACACGGTTTGAAAATTGAATATTTTTAATTTTTTTACACGATTTTATTCCATTTAGCACGATTTGAAATTTTATGTACTTAAATTATTTTTGTCGAATTTAATTTTTGCGAAGTATGTTCATATCACAAAAAAGTATTTATGAAAGATAAAAGTCTGAAACCATCGATAGTATCGATAGTTTGCGAACATTAGCAAAGTGAATTCCCCTTTAGCGCGTACAAACAATTTTTACTGGTCAAAGCAAATGTGAATAGCACTAATTTAGGGGAATTCCCTTCATGTGCATACAATAAAATTTACTGGTCAGAGCAATTGAAACGTGTTAATATTTTGTGAACTGTCAATGCAATAAGACGTGTTTGGTAAAGAAATTAAATTAAAGACAGCAATTAAATTTATGTTGTTGTACTTATGATTATCACTTATTCTATTTTATTTTATTTTTTACCTTAAAAATTGAATAACCTATTCTTTTCGTTCACAACAAAGTTTTTTAGTTACTGAACCTGCCATACATTTAATTTATATTACTTTTAAGATTGAAGTGCATATCTTTTTTATCATTAATTACTATGCTTGTGAAAATAAGCATTATATATTTGATTTCATAAAATAAACATGAATTCTTGTTCTTAAAAATGCTTGTATTTCACTAATTTTAATAGGTTTTAGAGATTAGGAACAAATCACCCATTTTTGTATAAGATCAATGTCTTTTTTTACACGGTTTTTTTACACGGCTTCTTCTGGAACCAATCTACTAGTGATGTGCCGACTCGAAAATTTCCTGATTCGAGTGATTCGAATCAGAAAAAAACCTGATTCGAATCATGATTCGAATCAATTCGAATCAAGTTCATATATGAACAATTATAATTCAAGAGAAGAAATAATATCATTTTAATAATTTTATAAGTGAAATAATTAATTTAGTAAGCAATTAATTCCAAAAAGTGCAGAGATGAATACATTTATACTATATATATAATAATAAACTAGCTACAAATATAACTAATCTTTCAAGTGAATTTACAGTAAAATATAACCAAACACTTCTCTATCACTAAAGCATATAAAACAATATTCTTAATCTTACGTTGAACGAATGCATGTGTATATTATTGATTGTTTAGATCTAATCTAAACAGGGAGCTGAATCTAACGTCTTACGAATGACTTAAAATTCAATCCACTACTGTAAAGATTGATATTATTTCATTTGTGTGAATTTGCCATTACTTGCATAATTAAAATATAATAATTTTGTATGTGTATAAAACTCGTTGTGTAGTTTATTTTGATAATAATTAAAATCTAAATCGCGTATTTATTATCTAAATGAGTTTTTGATATTTCATGAACAAATTTGCTCTCAGCGCTTAGTCAAAAATAAACAAACACTCAAGACCCATACGCACTGCATCTCCATAAGTCGATACGCTAAACACGGACACATGTTTCGAACTCAAGTCGGTATGATTTAGTTTGAGTCATATGAACTCGGATAAATTCATACCGACTTGAAGTCGGGATAAGTCGGTTTGAGTCATAGGAACTCGAATCAATTCATAACGACTTGAAGTCGGGATAAGTCGGTTTGAATCATAGGAACTCGAATCAATTCATAACGACTTGAAGTCGGGATAAGTCGGGTTTGAGTCATAGGAACTCGAATCAATTCATAACGACTTGAAGTCGGGATAAGTCGGTTTGAGTCATAGGAACTCGGATGAATTCATAAAGACTTGAATGCGGTTAAAGTCATATAAATTGGAGTCGGGTGATACATTTAAGCGGGTGACTCGCATGATTTAATTCAAGATTTATTTTTTATATTTATTATTATTATTTTCTATATTTATTATTAATATTTTTTATATTATTATAATATTGAATTAAATCAAAACATTTTTTTTATATTTATGAAAATTTGTGTTCACACATGTTTTATCACAGTAAATATTTCGCGGCTTGATACGAGTTGATTCGAATCAAGTAAAATCTGATTCGAATCAAGTCGTTAAAGGCTTGATTCGAATGATTCGAATCAGTTGATTCGACTTGGCACATCACTACAATCTACCGTGTAAAAACAGACTTAGGTGTATATTCACCATGTTTACCGTCTCTGTAAATTCTCTGAAATGATACTACCTTACATAATATACTTACTTCGGCCGCTATGTAAGCCGGAATGACGCTAAGCAACAGCCGCTCCTGTTGCTCGCGCTCACACTCCAGCCGAACGCGCGACTCTATCCCACTTCTGGTGCCGCTAACGGTGGCCAGATGAGCAGCCCGCGCCCGCACGCGGTAATACAAACCGGCGACACTGGCGCAGCTGAGGAACAGCAATTCGGATAATAACTGGAAGAGATAATACGGGTAAAATAATATTAGTTTGAATAATTCATATACAATATTTTGTTCCTTGATACCAGCTTAGCTAAGAGAGGTTTAAAAATTATGAATAAGTTTGGTTTAATATTTAACAAAATAAATGTCTCACTATAAATAAAATGTTCAGTTATAAAATTAAAATACAGAATATTATGTACCAAAAATTTTAAAAACATAGAATGGGTGTGAACTTCAGAAGACAATTTCTGAGTTCAATACAAATACTTTAGCCCGGCCAATTTACACATTCAAGGTTACTATAATTCATAATGGTCTGCAACTTGGCAAAATTGTTTAATATACTCCACTCCAACTGAACAAATTATTTATTTTTTAAACCAGGTATAAAGGTATAAAGGTTATGATGTCATCAAGGTTTCTTCACCTCAAAGTGAAGAAAAAGAAGAAGACGAAGAAGAAAAAGATCAAGAAAAACGATACGAAAAAGATGTAGAAACATTTGAAAATTATGACCCGCAGGAATAAATTTAGTTGCTTTTTCATAATTACCGCCTTTATTTTCACCAACCTAAATTCACAGATATTATTTTACAAGTGTTCCGAAACTTGCATATTGGGGAAACCACGTAAAAATACGAACTAAGCACACTACCCCGTAGGCGGCGTTTAAACGCACTTTTCAAGGTGATATATCTTCAAAACGGTGGCTCTGAACAAAAAAAGAAGTTTTGCATTTTTGTAGATAATTTTATGCTCTACAATACTGCCTTAGGTAATTTTGCGATAAACTGACCATTTAGCAAAAAATCGCAAAAAGGTCATTTTTTAACTCGCATCAAATCGATGAAGAGTTTTAAAAATTCTTTTATAATTGTATTTTAAACAATTTTGCCAAGTTACAGCCCAGTTATAGTAACTTTCACCATGATTTTAGGTTTAAATTGACCAGGCTACTTACAGAAAAAAAGAAATATAAATTAGGAGCAACTGCAATTATAGAGCTCGAAAATACACATACGGAAACAAAATTTTATCAAAAATCGTTTTGAATCATCATACATAAGGTGGGGCAGGGCACAAAAGTTCGATTTGACTTTGAGCAATTATATTGTGAAGAACAATTACATTTAAAACAAATAACACATATCAAACAGATAATTCTCTGACTATGTTCAGTAAATCACGGCTAATTCATCATTCTAGAAATATGTTTTTTAGCTGTTCTTCAAAAATTTTAAAGGATAATGTATACATAATATGTTCGATTAAGACCAAGAAATATGAAATTTGAAAATTATTAGGCAAATATTTATGAATTTACAATAAAAAGCATTTGGATAATATCTTCAATAGACAATATGAAACAATAATTTGTTCTGGTTCTGAAATTATGATCGATTTTTGTTAAATAATAATAGACTATATAGTTCAATTAATACTCAATGTTTTGTTCTAGTTCTGAAATTATGATCGATTTTTGTTAAATATTTGAATTTCATACAAATTGTCATTTTATAAAAACAATGATTTTATTATAATTATTGATACTTTATGCATATTATTAGTTATTGAAAAATAAATAAAATGCATTTAATATAATAGAGTTTTAAATAAAACAGAAGATTATTCCTGATTTCAATAGAAATAATTATTTTAAAAATGTATTTTTCTCTAATTAAATAGTATTATCACATGCTATTATTTCATTGCTATTATTGCTATTATTCTCAATATTATTGCTTTTTTATTATAATTAATATTTCTGTATTAATATTAATATTAATATTTCATTATTAATGATTAATTGATTTAATTTAAATCATTTACTTTAAATGATTAATTAAGCTAATTAATTTTAATCAATTTAATATTTCAAATAATTCAATAACTTTTAAAATAATTTAGACGTGTTAGAATTTTTTCATTAATTTCTATTTTTATTGATAAAAAAATAATAAAAAGATTAAGACATATCAAATTCAATTTTTAGTGGTAACTCTTGTATTGTGAAAGTATTAAATTTAATTGTATTTTTTAAATACTTTTTGTTAATTCGTGCTTACTTATTGGCTTTATATTTTATTTGATGTATATATTTAGTATATAACAAATAAAAAATATTGTTTGACATTATGCTTCCAAATTTTAAGTTATAAAAGCTTAAGTTAAAGAAGTAATTTTTGTGAAAATATCACTGGTAAAAAAATTGCTTTTTTTTCTTGCTTAATATACGTTTCTAAGGAATCGCAGAATAATGATATTTTTATAATTCAATTTTTTGCAGCTTAAACTATAAGAGCTCTTTAATTTTAAATTGTTAGAGATCTTGAGAATGATTGCATTTATCTCTTCACCTATTTGCGTTTCTGAGAAATAGTCGAGTGATCGATATTTTTTATGATTTCAATCTATGCAGCTAAAGCTGTAAAAGCTCTGAACTTTTAAGTCGATCGAGAACTCTATTTTCTCTTCGATAGAAAAGATTTTCAAAGTAAAGTCTGTGGTAAAGTTTGCCGATCCTTAATTCCCATCATTTTATTAAACTAATAGAATAATTACACTTCATTATTATTTTTTTATTCTCCAACAAGTATATTGACTAATTAGAACTGTAATAGGCTTGCATCTTATCTACCTACTTATTAATATTTTTTCGATATCGGAAACTTTTCCAATACTTCGTACAAGCCACATGGCAATTTCAATAAAACTTTATCCTTCGGTAAACATTTTCAGAAAGACATTATCTTTTATATACCTGCATATAAGGTACATCTTCACCGGAATTAACCAGCACAGCAAACCGCACCAGTACGTGACCGAGGGTAAGTATAGTTGCTAATGTTATAGCAAAAATTCTTGTAAGTGGTAGCATCGTGTGAGTTGCCTGGAACCAAGAAAAGTGCATCATTAATTCAAATAGGTCTTTTTAGTTGTAAATAAATGATAATTTGGATAATGTGCATGTAAAATGTGATTATAAAATATAGGGTATGGCGGAGCATAAAAATCCAATTTAACTTTGAGCATTTATATTGTAAAAACCAAACCAATTATATTACAACAGATAACACATATCAAACAAACAAGTATCTGACTATGATCACTAAAACTTCCAGCTAGTTCATCAATTCAAATTTTTCTTCACAAATTTGTCTCTTGGTTCTTTTTACCCCATAGTCAGGTTAAATAGGACAATCAAGGGGAAAATAGTGAACCAGTCTTACTTTTAATTTTAAAGATATTTTATAGAATAATAAGTACTTTATTCAACCAATGCAAAATATAAATTTCATAGTTACACTTTTTACAGAGATAACACTGTATATAACCTTGATCTGGTATTTCGCCAGCAGAGTTGGAATGACTTTTTTTAACTGTTTGTTTACAATTTTTTATTGTTTCCACCTATGCCAGGGTAAAAGTTCAGTTGGTCCTTTTTACCCCACCCACGTGCTAGCTTTTATAGAGATTATATAAAAGAAACTGTTGAATCTTATATAGAATTAGTAATACATCTTATGAAACTGTTAAATAACGTATACTTAAATATTATATTAAGAGGTCTCGTAAACTAAATCACATTGCTAAATGAGACATAATAAAAAAAAGGTTTCAAACTTTTAAATTTGTAATAAAATCTTAAGTAATCCAAGTAATTGTGAAAAAACATCACTAGTAGTTTAAAAAAAGTAGCTGTTTTCTCCTTGCTCAATATGCGTTTCTGAGAAATCGAACAATATATTTTTAATTTCCCGTAAGGTAAGTTATAGTAATCGCAAAAAAATCAAAAATGAAAATTTTTGTCTATCTTACGTTTCAGAGGTTTCTGAACATTTTAGTGTGTGTATGTATGTCTGTTTGAATATAATTTTTCGTCCACGATTTTGGGTGCATGGATCAACCGATTTGAATGATTCAAAAATGATCAATATTTATCGATTTTTATTTTTTTTCTGCTCGACTATTTAATTTGCAGCATTTGCCTTAAGACACGATGTCATGCATCACTAGTTTTGAAATAAATTATCTGCAGCTTGCTATGAGCACTTTAATTATCTCCTTACCTATTCGAAATTCTGAAAAATAGTCGAATGATCGATATTTTTCGTTGTGAAAAGTGCTCACAACCAAAAAAAAAAAACTAACAACGAAAGAAAATACATTTGTTATGAATTTTCAAACATTGCCGTTTATTTCACAATAGCAATGTCGTAAGAATGAAAATTATGGCTGGTTATATATCTTTTACCCTCTACTTTCAAATATTGTTGTTAATTTTTTTTAGTTTTACATGTTTTTGAGATATTGGTGGTAGACCTTTTTACCCGCGGACCTTTAAACCTTGCTCTACCATATATATTATACACTTTACATGAAGTTTTAAAGAAAATAATGTTTTGTATATATAAATTTCGAAAATATAATTTTTCTTATAAAATATGGCATAGTCATTTATTTTTCAAGCGTTTTGAAACAGTTTCATTATGGCCCTCGTGAAATAAATTTCACGAACAATTTACTGTCCCATGTCGTTTTACATATTGTTAAGCTGTTCCTATCGAAGTATATTCACAAAACAAATTCTTATAGACGTGCCATCAAAATGCTATTTGCCACGTGTCACAAAGAGTAATTTTTTTTCGAATGAAAAATATATACGTGGAAAATTTACCGCGGTATTGTCTTGGAATTTAATGGGAAAACATATTCACTTGCGATTTTATGTAGTAGGCTAGTAGCTATTCATTGTACTCGAAAAACAACGTTTTATGCTTTCCTCGGTTTTACGATGCCGGAGTTTAGGGCCGGTTTACATGTACATATAGAATATATTATATTTTATGAAATCGTGACATTGTACAATGTTTGAATTCACCTATGATATAAAAAATATTTGAACTAGTGGTTTATGGCACCCTGCCTAAAGGTAAATTGCTATAGAACTTTCCGTACCGTATTTAAATATACGAGTAATAAAAATAATCAGCAATCAATAAAAAATAATTAATAATTAATAAAAATTATTTTAAATACTATTAAATAGGTTATTATTTATTTATTTATTTAACGCCCAAGGCAATAATTATAAATACTGTAACATTAATTATTCGCTTTTTCAAGAGAAAATATAAGAGCTAATAAATTAGACGACGGCGATTATATATTATTAGAAGAAAAGTAAATAAACAAAATCTAATCATGCCGAATTAGGATAAAGGGTTTATCTCATATTTCATAATGCATTAGAGGACCTTATCTTATATTTCTAAGAATGAAAGAAAACTGAATTGCAAAGTTAAAATTATTTATTCCAAGCAAAAAAGTGAATCTTTGATATTTAATTGTTATACATTCCCGAAAAATTAATCATTTCTTGAAGGTGTCATCAACACAAAAAAAAAATGTTTTTTGAATCTTGATAAAAGATAATAATAATGTTTTGAATGGTTAAGATTAAACATGTAACTAATTTCACCTTAATTTTCAAATATTACTATTACATATTTTTAGTTCTTAAATTATTAACTTCCCGTAGGGTAAGTTATTGTAATGGGCCGAAAATCGGAATTGAAAATTTTTACATTTCTCGACGTTTTGAAGGTTTCTGAACGTTTTGGCATACCTCAGAAAAAATGGATGTGTGTGTGTGTGTGTGTGTGAGTGTGTATGTATGTATGGATACAAATTTTCGCCCATGTTTTCGGGCGTACGGATTAACCGATTTGAATGGTTCAAAAAACATTCGATTCCTATTGATAGGGAAAAGAGCTGATTAGTTTTTGGCAAAGGCAGGTCCAACCGTTTCGGAGATACGGAGCAAAGAGTGCAGAAAATAGAAATCGAATTTTTGAGAGAACGGAGTATCCGATTTGAATGATCTAAAAAACATTCAATTAGTAATGATTAGGAGAAGGAGAAGGAGAAGTGTTTATTAGTTTTTGGCAAAGGCAGGCCCAGCCATTTTGAAGATACGGAGCTAAATATGTAAAAAATGGCAATTTTTGAGAGAACTAAGCGTCCGATTTAAATGATTCAAAGAACTTTCTGCTTGTCTTAACAAAATAATTGATTTTGGAAAAAAAAATTTGTTCCATTTTTTTTTTTTTAGTTTTTTGTATATCGAAAATATTTCAGATTTTATTTTTAATTCTGACTATAGTACTAATATACTTTACAAATAATTTCAACTCTGCAATTCAGTTTATATAATTCTTATAAATATTAGACAATTTTACAATATTTATAATAATCTATTTGAAAACATTCAGTTTTTCTGAATGTTTACATTTCGTTACGGTACGGGAAGTTCCAGCAATTTGCCTTAAGGCACGATGCCATAATTGCCTCAAGACAGAATTCCACTAACAGCTAGTTTCTATTTTCATTGAACAAAGACTAGAACCAAGAACTATATCCTTCTAAAGTAAGAATATTATATATTTTTTTAAAAACAGTCATGGTTTTATAATCTTTATAATACATCCCATGAAAAGGGATAGTGACGTCACCGGATGAACGAACGCTCCGAGAACCGTCGAATGCTCTGGATGAATGTCATATGTGACGTTTTACAGTACTTCAACAAAATTGAGCGTATTCGACGGCTCTCGGCAACGCTTGTTCACTCGGTGACGTCACTATCACCTTTTATTTTTGTCACATTTTTACTCGCGAACTGACGAAATGTTCATTCGTTAAACGCACATGTAACGTTTTTGTTTTACTTTGTAGGGAATACATTTTTTTTAAACAAATTTATGGAGTTTGAAAGATTTGAATGTATTTGAATTAGTCCTCTGAACTCTTTAAATTCTCTTCTGAGATAGATATATAAGATATATTTTTAGGTTGTGTCTTGACATTTCTTAGTTGACATGTTTGATATGCATGCGCAAACTCTTGACCATACACTTGAGTCGTCTGTGGGCACTGTGAAAATACGCCTGGTTGCGCATTCATTGATCTGCACATGTATACAAAAACCTTTGTAGCCGGCTTTACTAAAGTAACAATTTTTTATGAGCGTAAAAAACAAATGAGCCAAGAAAATAATATAAAAATAAAGTATATAATGCCATTAAAGTTTTATTAAACAGTTGAATTATATGATTAAATTATGTGTATGTAGACGATACCTTAGATATGAGCATCTTTCTACATAGGAATATGCTAAGTACCCCGCGGCCTTTGAAACAAAACCATTATATACTTGCGCCCGCCGGCTATAAATTTCCTGGCATTCAGAGTATGTTCTTATCTACTTAACAGGATACTGTATTTACTCCATAAATGACATCTTGCATTAAACTTAAGCGAAATATCATATAAATCTCTAACAATAAGTAATCTCAAATTTAATATAGAATCACTTTTAGATACAAAGTTTCTAATGATCTTACAACGATTCAAAACTGCTGTTTGGCACAGAAAGATATCGTTACAAAAAAAATTATATTTTATCAAAGAATTGGCTCCTGAATCTATAACTAGTTAAAAGATAAACCTAACTTGCATTTTTGGTCATTTAATGAAATTGTGCCTTATGATTAAACAAAAGAAAGTAGTTCAACTATAATAATAATTTTGTGATGTAAGTTTATCCTACAAGTGTTATATAGCAAAATCAATAAAAATGAGAAAATTAGTCAATTTCAAAAATCTAAAGCGAATATTATTATAATGTGAAAATACCATAAATATAAATAAATTCAATTTTCTGTGACTACAAATATATTTCATTACGCTCCATTAATTAACTTTAGTTCAGTGAGTTCACCAGAAATTAATTTTTAATTAATAGAGTTATAATATTCAGACTCGAGGCTACCTAAAACATTATACATAACTTTTGGTCAAATTCAAATAGTTTGCTAAATTATGTTT